CACGTCCGTGTACACACACACAAACACACACTCACTCGGGCTGCACCAGGACACCCTCTTCCGGGGGCTCCCGGACCAACCGTCCTGCCGGTGGAACCGAGGTAACTAGCTCAGAGTGCTGTGGCGAAGAGGGGCCTACCTTCCGTCAGCTGCCCGCGGAAGCTTGCTTTCTAGACCCGTGCCCCCTCCCCCCCCCCGCCCCTAACAGGGATTTGGGACACGAGGTGCAGGCCTCTCCCTCAGCTCCACACGCAGGGAAGTCAGGCCCGCTCTTCCCGGGGCCAGGGGGCGACGGGGATGGCCATGACCGTCGCCTGCCATACATAGCACTCAACCTCGGTCACGGGTGAGGGGGGACTAGTTACATCTACGTCACATTATTTATAAAATAACAGTTACATTTTATATCGTGTGTCCTGAAGGAGCTCCGGCCCCTCAGGAGAGCTGCCGAGGACAGCATCTGAGCCTCTCACGGGCATAACTTACCTATACAGCTAATTCCTAGTCAACAGCATTTATACTTAACCACCTCAGTGAACCAAGCTTGAAGGAATTTAAAAGGCAATTTAGCTTAAATACAAAAATAAATTTTTATTTTGTTAAAAAATGTTTAAATATTTTTTTCTTTTAATTTAGACACACGCATTCATACTTCTCCCAAAGAGGATGGGCATGGCAGCAAGGCTCTTGGGCCCGGGGTAGGTGATCTGGGAACAGAGGAGGGAGGGGGGAAGGGGGGAGGAACCTGAAGAATTCTGAAGTGTGGTTCACTACTTTTGGTTTTCTACCACATCCTGGGGCGGATCTAGCCCACGGCGGGGGTGGGAGGGAAACGGCGGAGGGAAGAGGTCTTTGCTTCCCCTCGGCCCCATCCTCTTGGGCTGCCAGCCCGTAAAGTCAGAACACCATTTGCAAATCCAGGAGTCAGCACGTGTAGCCATAAAGTGGTGCTACTTCCCACATTCAATTAGCGAGGCCCCAGAAACTTGAAACAGTTAAGTCCGGCACTACCAACATGCCGCCACTCATACGATTCAATTCTTCCTCCAAACTCGATTCAAAGAGCAATGGACATGAGCGTCAGACGGTAACACAGGACAAGGCTTTGAACATACAACCCGGGGGGGGGGGGGGCGGCACCGGGGGGGGGGGGGGGCGCGGCACGAGGCGGGCGAGGAGGCAGCTGAACAGTGGGGGGACGTCCTGCCTGCTCCGGGCGCTTCCCCCCCCTGCAGCTGCCAGGCTAACAGTCTTGAGCCACCAAGCTTTTAGGGGCCAAACTGGCAGAGGGCGGGGGACAAAACATTGACTCGGACTTGGCAGGAGCAGCACCCACTGGGGTCTCCAAGGCAAAGCGAAATTCGGGGCCACTTAAAAAGGAGTGGATCCTGCAAGGAACCGGTGAGGGACAAAGCAGCAAGAGATGGGGAAGCAGGGTCCCCTAACGGGCCCCGGGGAGAACCACTTCTTATAGGCAAGCCAAGCAAGGTAAAGCTGTGGGGCTGACCCAGCTCCCCGACTCCCGTCCCCAGCGGCGACAAGGGCGAGGGCTGTGCCTGCGACACCCCCTCCCCCCGCCAAGCCGGCTCTTGCGGGGAGCGGCGGGAACACACCACACAGGAGTCAGGGAGGGAGGGGACCATATGTACAGATGTTCTCGCGCTCTCCAGCCTCACCGCGGAGCTGTTCAAGTACAGGGAACGCTGCCGCCCCTGCCCCCAGGCCCGAGGCTGCTTCCTCGAGGAGCGGGACCGGCCACCAGGGCTGCCGCTGCCTCCCCGCTGGCGGAAGCCAGAGATGGGGGCGGGGGGTGGTTGCTCTATGGAACTAGAAGGGTCAGAGGCTCTTCCTAGCAGGTGCTGAGGTCCACATTTGGGCAAGGAGTGGCGGGGACGGAAGGGGGCCAAAGGCTATTTCTTGCGGGCGTGCTGCCTGCGGGCCTGCAGTCGCTGCCGAGCCCCCGGGGTCTTGGATCCTGCACCAATGGAAAAGGAAGGGGCCGCCGAGCCTGGAAAGATGCAACAAGGTCTCATCAGGGCAGCTGCTGCCTGGGGCACTTCCCCGGGCACCCCAATCTTTGGAAGGTTAGGCTAGCAGAAGGCCAGGTACTAAACCGGGCCTCCCAAAACCATGTCAGTTGCTGGGGGTGCGGGGGGTGGAGAGGGACTAGTAAAAATGCAGAATCCCAGATCCTCTGCAAGTGAGCGGGAAGGCATTGTTACGTGGCTTTCCAGTGGTCGGGAACGTTTCCCCCCCCAACTCCATGGGCTGGGCTGTGCTGGCCTTCCAGCCGGGCCACATCTTTCTCGGGCTTATGAGGCTGATCTTTCCCGGGGAGGGGGGCCCCAGAGCAAGAACCTGCCGAGACCCCCTCCCTCTCTGGAGAAATAGGACACGCTGGCACCGAGGGGACTTGCTGCTTACCGAAAGGTCCGACTCCAACAAAGCCTTGGGTGGGTGTTGAGGATGCCCCAAAGGAGAGACCACTGCCTGACGCGCCCACCCCGGGGGCAGGGGTGTTCTGACCAAAGGTGGGTGTGGAGGTGCCTAGAACGAAGAGACCGCAGATAACTAGCCACTAGGCCAGTGCCCAGAGGGCGTCCCGGGCCGGGTACTGAAGCTGGGGGGCAACCCCACAGGGCACCTCCGCCCTGGCCCCCCGTGCTGGCTCACCCCAGTGGTGGGGACTGCCGCTCTCCCCACTGGCTGCGGCCGAGCCAAAGCCCCGCAGCGCTGCCCTCTGGCCTAAAGAGCAGAGTCTGCATTTCCGTGGCCACCAAAGCACAGGAGAGGGGAACACTCAGTTTAACCAGGTTACTTCCCTCTGGGGGCTGAGTTCTCCCTCCTCTCCCCATTTACCTGTCCCTCACTCCAGAAACCTGAGCCTTCCACCAAACACGCCCACCCCCCCATGGGTCCTCTCGCCTTCCCATGGCCACACCAGACCGCCTCTGCCCTCGCCACCAGAGGTCCACTGTCCAGTCCCACCCCTGCCTCCCGACCGCCCACAGGGAGGGCTGGCCTCCTCGCTCCAGCCCTGAGCCTGCCATCTTGCTGTCTGCCTCCACCCCTGCCCCCTACGGTTGCCCCTCACCGCCACCAGGGGCCATCCTAGCTCCCAGAGGACCCCCAGGTCCCTGCCCCCCCCCCCCAACGGGAACCTGCTGGAGCTGCCACAGGCGGGGTCTCCCTGCCCCCCAGCACTCATGTGAATGTTGCTGCACCGTCTGGCCTCACAAATTCATTACCCCAACTGTCCGGCGCTCAGAACTTCCTGACAATTCTACTAGGTTCTCATTACGTTCCTTTGCTCACCCTCCAAATGACCACTTCGAGAGGCCCTCGTCTGTACACACACCTCCCCAGTCCACTCTCACATTTAAGAACACAAATCATCAGGATCAGAACTCTGTGAGTCACCTGCCGCGGGGCAGCTAAGATCACTTCATTCTCCTGAAATTCTACAGGGATCTCCCTCTGTACTTAAAATCTAAATTTAACCCTTAAGCCCTGCATGACCTTCAAGGTGGCCTGCCTCTCCACAGCATTTTGGATCATTTCCATTTTTAGATCCTCAAGCCGCACCTTGCTTTTTGTCTGTTCCTGACCAGAGCGAGCTTGCTCCTGCCCCTGGGCCTTTGCACCAGCGCCCGTGTGCCCGAAAAGCGTGCTCTCACACACACACCTACCCACCACACTCCCAGTCCCTGTGCCCAACACAGAGAATTGGCTTCAATTTGCCCCGAGAGGCCCACCCTCCTCGACTACCCGAGGAGCTCCTCCACGGCCACTCGGGACGCACTGCCCCCTGCCCGGAGGCTTCCCGCTCCCTGAGCCCGTGTCTAACTACTGACCATCAGCCCCGGCCCGGCCAGACCATGGCGCGCTGTCGGCGAGGGGGCCGCGCTGGCACTTAGACCGGCGCCCGGTGCGGCGGACCGAGGCCATTCCCGAGCTTACCTCCGAACACAGGTTTGCTCTCGGGCGTGCCGGCCACATTGAAGGCAAAGGGTGTGCTCTGACTGGGCGCGCCCAACGTGCTCTGACTCAAGCCGCCTCCGAAAGGGGTCGTGCCGCCGGCGCTCCCACTCTGTCCCGTGCCAAAGCGGAACGCTCCGGAGGTGCCGGGGGCGGCCACGTTGATCCCAAAGCTCCCGCCGCCGGCCGCGCCGGCGGATCCCCCAAACGTGAAGGGCGACAGCGCCGTGCCGCCGAACACGGAGCCGCTCGTCCCGCTGCTGGTGGTCTGGGTCGTGGCTCCGAAGCCCGAGGTGGTGGCCGCCCCGAAGGAGAACACGGGCGTGCCGCTGCCGAAGGCAGGCTGGGTGCTGGCGGCGGTGCCGAAGGCGGAGGCGGCGGGCTTCAAGCCGCCGAAAGCGGACTGCGCGGCGCTGCCGAAGGCGGGCTGGGCCGGGC